GTCTACACTATAGTATTATCTCAGACTGAATTTCTTTTTAAGTGATTCAACTGTCTCTTAAGATAAATAAATAAACTATTATACACTCATCAGACTGACTGCAGTATTAATATATAAGTAATTAAGACTGTCTTTATTATCTTATAAAACTGAAACAGTAAATTAATCACATATTTTAACTGAGTTCACTTCATATTAGAAAGTTTCAATATCTCAATCTTTTCTTAATCAGAGTGTTACACTCAATGATTAATCATCTGATATAATCAAAGAGTCTGAACAGTTATCTTATATATTAAACTTCACTGTATTCTAACATTCTATATCATATTCAGTGATTTGACTGATTTATTTATTTATTAAATATTATAAAATTATTATTATTGTTTAGAGAAGATATAAATCACATTAACAATATTTCAAATCTGTAATATTTAAATTATTAGTTAATCTATTCAAAATTAACAGTAGTATTATCAAAAAGTGTTATCAAAAAGCAATATTAAAAAGTGTTATCAAAAAGCAATATTAAAAAGTGTTATTAAATAACATTATATTTTACAAAGTGAATGTAAAAGTTACTTGAGTAATCACTTTTATCTTATTCTTATTTCAAGAATCAGTCATCTCATTATTCTTCATCTCAATATTAAGATTCTTTATCAGTGTTTATATCATAAGTTAAATCATAAAAGTAATACAGAGAATATGACCTTATTTATTATTTTAGAAATATAAAGTCAATTTTTGCTTCAAGCTCTTCATCATAGTATAGTTATTCACAGTATTATCAGTTATAATTGTAAGAAGACTGAGACTAATATCTCAATAATTATTTTTAATCACAGTTATTAATATCTCTGTTATATAATTCCCAGTATAACTACTGATCAATGATTTAAATTCAATTAATGTCTCTTGATAAGTTTAGTTCTTATCAATGTAATAACATGTAACTCTTATATGAACTATGCTCTGAGAGTTATAAAGATGAGCTCAAATCATATAATCAGAGAAAGAGTCTCTTTCTCATTTCCATCAGTTAACTCTGAAAATGAACTGGATTGAAATACATTTCTTAATTGAAATGAAAATAATTCTTCAAAGAAAATGTCTTCTCAACTGTACAGACTATACTCACTGATTAAAAATCAATTTTCTTCTTTAAATGTTGAAAAAGTTGCTCATGAGAAGTTATCTCTCTGAAGAGAAAAGCTTGACTCTCTTATAGACTTACAAATAAGCAAACTATCTAAAGAGAAAGAATATGAACAGTATTTAAACAGAATTTCTACAATTAATATAAAAGACTCTATTCTGATTTATTCAGATGACTTAAAAAATGAGAATTTGAATAGATTAGATGCAGACATTGCTTATACTGAAGATAATATTAATTTTATCTCAGATTTCTGAAATTTAGACTGTGAATCTGAAGTCTTTGATGCTGAACTATTTGCAATAGTGAAAGCTTTCAAACTTATTAAAATAAAATCTCATAAAAGAGAAAATAGTTTGAAAGAGATATGAATATTCTCTGATAGTCAAGCTGTTTTAAAAAGACTTAGAAATAGTCAGATTTATAATGATCAAATGAATCTTGAACTGATCTTAAACTTCATTTTAAAAATTCAAAAGAGAAGAATATTAAAGCTGATAATTCATCTGCACTGAGTTCCTGCTCATATGAATATTCATGATAATGAATTGACTGATTCAGCTGTAAAAAAAGGTTCAGAATTAAGCAGATCTGTTCAAAAAATTATGTTCTGATCTTTTATAAAGAGAAAAATAAAAGAATCTTGTTTAGATAAGTGAAATGAAAGCTGGCAGAAACAAAAGAAGAGTATATATTATTCAAGATTTGAAATAAAACTCAAGTGAAAATCTTGTTCAATTAAATATAAAAAGAAAATATTCTCATCTATAATACAGTTGAAATTAAAACATGGCTATTTCAAATCTTATATACAAAGATTTGATAATAGATTTGATTCAATAGAATGCTTATTCTGCAATACAAATGAGAATTCTGAGTATATTGTAATACACTGTGCATTATACAATAGTCTCAGAGTCAGATTGAAAGGGAAGTATGATCTAAATCAATTAAATATGAGATTCTTATTCTTAACTGAGACAGGAATTAAATACTTAATAGACTTTCTATCAGAAACTCAAGCAGCTACAAGAAAATGACTGAATTTAGAAATATCTGAATATAAAGAGGAGAAAATTGATCAGATATAGTCTGTTAAAACAGCTATATACTATCTTTCAATAATTTGTTTTATTACAGTCTCTTATTATTTTACTTTACTTTTTTCTTTCTATTCTTTTCTACCTATCTATTTAATGTGTCTATCTTTAAGACTGTGTTTTCTTTTCTTTTGTCATGTCAAATGATTTCAAAGTATCAGAAGATGTTAAAATACTGCAATTTGTAAACAGTTTTTGTATTCTGAGCTGGAATTTTCTGATTTTGCATATCTGAAATTCATGAATGTATAATAGTTAACTTTACAGATATAGGAAAAACCCTGAGAACTTTTAGTTCTCAGGTAGATATCATAGTCTCTGACTGCATACATCTATAATTGAAGAATAATAATAATAATAATAAGAACAGAACATCAAGATATTTCATAATATTATCAGATGTTCACAATATCAGTTCACATGCTTTTATTCATGAATGAAACTTCTGTTTCATGCAATTCTTCAATCATTCATTGATATATTAATCTTGATTAATTAATGAACTGATGACATCTCTATCTACACTCAGTTTCATGAGCATTTTCATTCTTTATGATGAGTAGAAAGTGAGATCAGAAGTATTGAAATATATAGAAGCACTTAAGTGTTCTTTCAGTGCTTTTATATTTGATTCTGCAGATGTTGAAATTGCATGAGTTTCTTATTGTAATAATTGTTGAATCTGTTCATATTGGCATTGTTGAGTTGCATGCATATCAGCTATTTATTATTATAATAGTTTCAACATTGCTTGAAGTCACTGTGATATTATATCTATGCTCATGCTCGAGAGTTCTCTCATATTATTATTAGACATGATTATATCATTTATCAGATCTGTGATATCTGTGAAATCTGAAGAAGTGTAATTATATGAATATCTCATATGTCTGAGTGTCAGAACTCATAGATCTTTTACTGATATTCTTTTATAAAATCTTATTGCAGAGTCAGAGTAACTGGTAAGCAAGCTTCTATATAAGAACTTAGTGTCTGCTTAACTGTTTCTCTTGCTTACACATTATTACATGTTCAGATATCTCAATAAATATTCATTTCTAATGAGAAGATAATGCATGAATAATTATTTTTAATAAGAAGATGATGAACATTTTTCTAATATAAGAGGCCTACACTGAATAGATCAGTATTATATTAATGAATCTTATATAATAAAGAGAAAAATGTTAGAGAAGAAAAGAAAGAGAAAGTGTGAGAATCAGTAATTAGAGTGAATATTTATATGTGTATATAATGATATACACAGTAAGGTTTCACTGTTTCAGAGTGGAAGAATCTATACGCGTTCATAGCAGCTGAGAATTGACAATTGAGAATGGCCGAGAATCAGAGTGTACATGTTCATAGCAGCTGAGAATCAGCAATTGAGAAATGACTGAGAATCAGAGTGTACACATTCAAGAATGAAGCAGTTGAAATCTGTAGAGTGTAACAGAATAGTCTATATAATTGCTCAGGCGCAGCCCGTCACAAACTATAATACTAACTTTAAAATAAAACTTATATATATTAATTATAACTGAAAATCAGATCGAACTATATACTTATAAAACTGAATTTAATCACTATCTTTAAAATAATCTAATGAATTTATATATTAAATCAATTCTAGAGCTATGAGAAATTATTAAGAGTATATATTTATCTATTACACTGATAATATGTAATATTTTAATAATTTCATTAATAGAGATGAGAATAAAGTGAAAGTTTAACTCAAGCTGAGATATTTATTACTATTACTAAGAACAATTATAAGAAGAAATAATTAAGAAACTTATAATTATAAAACATAGAATTATTAAATAGTTTAATATCTCTAATCACAGTATATCTGAGATAGACTGGCCGCTGGGACCATGAATTTCACATTTGGTCTCATTTGGTCTGATCCCATACATTTCTTGGCGTGAATCCCGCTGGGACTGACTATCAAAAAAACATGCAAAGTGACTATATATCAGATTTTAAAATGAGACCATGACTTGAAAAAAATGAGAAAGTGATTCCATTTGGTCCCATTTAGTTCCATTCTTGGCATAAAGTTACTATTTTTAGACATTTTAAGGTTTTTTTTAGACTATTTTTAATTTTTTAAAAAGTAACGCTTTTTGGTAACACTCAAATGAGATTTAAAGCCATTTAAAGCAATAAAAATAATTTAAATTGAGAAGTGGAAATCATGATCCCATTTGGAAAATGTGACAAGAGTAGACAGTAAGTCCCACTGGAACAGTATGAAACTACTATCTAATGTTAGAACCGTGTAATGGAATCTGTCAAATTGACAATGAGACTATCAAAAATTCTGGTCCTGGTCCCAGACACGGTCACACGGTCAGTCTAATCTGAGAAGTGTAGTTTTTATAAGAAAGTAAAGAATAAACTTATATAAGAATGTATTTAATTATTTCATAAATATTATTAATAATTATTATCAAATTCTGATTATATAAGTAATTACTGAATAAATTAAATAAGACTGAATTCAATTTTCAGTCTCAGTCTTATTCTGATTTTAAAAGAATAATTATCTTTTACTGTTTATTCTGAGAAATTACTCTTATTTTATTATTCCTGAATTAAATCTGGTCATTTTTCACATTATTTCTGAAAGAAATGATTCATTTTCAGATTTATTTAATACTTGATTCTGATGAAACTCATGCTAAGAAATGTATAAGATCAGATTAAATGAGATTAAATGTGAAATTTATAGTCTCATCAGTCAGTCTAATTGCAGCAGCAGCAATTGCAGCAATTAAAGCTGTAATTACCTGCTTAATAAGTGATGACTACTTACTTATACAGGCCATTGCGAATTTCTATACAGGCTTGTTATGAGGTTGTCTATAGACGGGCACGTGAGGTGTGCATTTTTTCAATCAATTATATCACAGAATGGGGGCCTGCAAGATTGCATCTTCAATTCTTTTCAATTAAGCAAGCTTTACACCTTCCACACTATTCTAATAAGGTTTTGAGAGCACCTAACATATTGCTTCGCTTCGCTCCGCAAATAACAATAGGTAAGAGCGAACCCGTTCGGTTGGGAGATAACACCTCATAAATAGCATTTCTTCATACATATGTATAAGTATACATATATATACTTTTAGATATACCTTTTTCAGATGTAGGTCTTAGGAACATTAGACCAGAGCAAAAAACACCCACATCAGTAATCAATTAGACAGAAAGTTCAGATACTTTGCTCGGATCAATGTTTGCCTTATAGAGCTCCAGTGCCTTCTGCACTTCTCCTCCCAGACCACAGAAGTTCTCAACCTGCTCCGGGCATCTTCCAATGAAGTTCATCGGATCCAATAGCTGGTCAACCTCCCCAGCCACTGGGGCAAAGAACTCTGACTTCTTAATTCTGTCAATTAAGTCGTTTCTTCTGCCCTTATTCTTGACTATGTCGCTCGCTTGATGGGACAACACCCGGATTTCCTCATGGGCGTCCTGTCGTGATCTTCCAAGCGACACCATCTTCATCATGATGGTTTCGGTTGCCATGAAAGGTAGTTCTACATTTCTGTTAGCGCTGTTATCCAGGTACTAGATCATCCTTGGGCAAGAAATTGTTATGTTACACACCTTCCATCAGGCGGCTATGGATCCGTGCTGGATAGACAACAAGGCCGGACACTACATTGTCCATGGCCATCAGGATTGAGTCCGCGCTTAGGAACATTTCGGGAATAGTGATACGACGAATCGCGCTGTCATCGAGGGTGCGCTCGAACCATTGCTGCGCATAGGTATCCGCAGCATTCTTATTGAGATTTGCCAAGTGCCGTCCCAGACTGGCGATGCGTTCGCAACGCATAGGATTCCGCTTGTATGCCATGGCGGACGATCCGATTTGGTCTTTCTCGAACGGTTCTTCCATTTCCTTCTGCGCAGCAAGATGTCTAATATCCCCAGTGATTCTCTGAACTGTAGTTCCCAGTGCAGAGAGAGCGTTGGCTACACGCAAATCGACCTTGCGGGAATAGGTCTGGGTAGAAATCGGGTAGCAGGATGGAAATCCCGCCTTGGCGCAAATGATTTCGTTGAGCTTGTCGATTTTTGCCCTGTCATTGTTGAAGACTTCCATAAAGCTGGCTTGCGTTCCAGTGGTTCCCTGGGCACCGCGGAATCGGAGGTCGTTCCGCGTGCGCTCGATATCTTCGAGATCCATGAGCAGATCTTGCACCCACTGAGCAGCACGGCGTCCGACGGTGATGAGCTGAGCGGGCTGATAATGGGTATAGCCAAGGGTGGGCATATCCTTGTATTCCAGGGCGAATTGGGACAGCTTGTGGATCACTGTTGCAAGCTTGGGAAGTACAAGGTCGAGAGCGTCACGAATACTTATCAGGTCACCGTTATCTGTGCAATAACAAGAAGTGGCGCCCAGATGGATGATTCCCTCGGCGGCCGGGGCGACTTGACCAAATGCCTAAGATAAAATCCCCAATTAGTATCATAGATCTTGGAATATCTGACCAAGCCCATACAGGGCCGTGTAGCCATCTAAGATAGCGAGTAAGCGCAGCAATAAATGTAATGTACATACGTAGACATGGGCCATAACGTCATGCCTCCGCCGCTTTTCCTCCTCCGCCGCGACCTTGAAGCATTTGTCCGTCATGACCACATTTGCCTTCATCTGAGCAATAGCTTCATCCGAAATATCGATTCCCAATTCCTTCTCGGCTTCCGCGAGCCAAATCCACAGTTTCCGCCATGTCGTTGATCGAGTTCGGGCGGAGAAGATGGTTTTCATCTCCTTGCCTGTCGTTATATACCACCATGGCTTAGTTGACACAAACCAATTCGCCTCGAATTAAGTGTCACTTACTTGCATACCGCGAAGCCAGCGGGGTCTGATATGTATCGTTTTCAGCCATTTTTGGAATAAGGTCGCAATTCTTTATTATTTTGCGGGGTTTGTTGGCCGGGGGAAAAAGAAGAACAAATTCATGCACATTATTCTGCCGCCATTTAACTAGTTACCCATTGGTGCGCGGGGAAAGCGGTGTAAAATGAAACTGCCACACTTCTGAAAAGCTTCATTAGTATTGTCACCACTGAGATAAACTGCTAGGTGTGCCTCCGGGAAGCCATCATGCAATTGTTCTTATACTTTCTCATTCTCATCTCTGAATGTGTTCACTAAACATATGCAATCAATCGATCCACGCATAGAATCTAGCACTGAAAGGGGGTGTGTCAAATTATTACTTGTGAGGGCCTGCTTGGGCGAGATTGATTCTATTTATGATGTGAGGATATCAAATCTCATAGTTACTACACCTACTCTTTCCTTTCATTTTTGCATTTGAGTATCTGATGGCCTTTTCACTCAAACGCTCCTCGGCATATCTTAAGATCACCGCGTTTTAGAGCTGGAGAGGCGAGGCAAGATTTAAATAAAAATATCTTAATGCACACGAGCCTCTGTGTGCAAAGACATTGCAGAGCTAAGCTCAAAACAGAAGGCCCTGCAAGATTGATTTTACAGCTTATTAATAGAAGAGATAGAACTGTAAAAATAAATAGAGATTCATTTTTCAGTGTAAAAGCATTAGCTAACTAAGAAAGAAAAAAAATAAAAAACATTCTGCTCTGTCTCACTAGCTTATATATTATTCTCAAGAACAGTTTAAGTAATCTGAAGAAGACTTATAATAGTTTTGAATTTAATCTTCAGAGTTACATTCTTCTTATACAGAGTCTTATTTTCAATATAAAGAGTTAAAATCTTAATATCATAACTGTTAACTGACTTAACACTTATTATCTGTTTTTTCAAGACTCTAGTCTCTGTATTCTCAGCTGTAAAGTATTTCTTAAATGAGCTTTTTTTCTTAACTTTCTTTCTCTTTTTATTCTTCTATTTCTTTTCTTTCACTTTATTATTCTTCTTACTGATATTGACTATGTATAACTATTAGTTAATTGTATTGAAATTGATATATTTCATATTAAAAAGTGACTTACTTCTATGATAAAAGCAGTGACTTTCAGTGTTATTATAATAATAACTGATTCAAGCTTTATAACACTGATTCAGAGTACTGATACAGATAATAAAAGAGTCTTCTTCTTTAACACAGTAACTATAGAAGACTGTAAAAACAGTATCACAGAATTGTAGAAGAAGTGCTTTATAATTTATATTAATTTTTATATTAATCTAATAACTCTTCTATAAGACTGACTTCTGAGTACAGAGTAATTTAATAAGAGTCTCTAGCTTCTTTGATAACTTCTCAAATATTCTTTCAGTTAAATAAGTCAATTATTAACTTGATAATCTAGAATCAGCAGATGCAGCAGAGACAGACACAGATATAGATACAGATACAGAACTGAGAATGAGATTAATAGCTAATAGCTTAGCAGATTAAACATACAAAGATCTCACATTCAACCGCTCCATCACGAACTCGCTCGATTTTTCGAATAAGAACCCGCCGATAGATCCATCGAAAAGCCCTCAATTATACAAGCATTTTGACCCCATTGCCAACCACATACCCCGTGTGGTGGTGGAGTTATCCAGCCAAATGTGAACCAGACATTGTTTGAAACTCCTGCGTGGGATTATCTCTCATTCTCCTCTACCACACCACAACCCCGGGCCAAATTGCCATACAAATTGTAAGATGAAGAGACCTAGTCATATGCATCAATCTTCTTGATTTTGAAAGATCTCTGATCTGTAGTTGTGAAGATATCTGAGAAGTGACCTCTATGAAAACTCTGTCCATCTTTGATGTTTCAAAACATCAATGCCAAGTCTCACCCTTGTACCGCCCTTCTCAATCTGACTCATTCTCAGCAGAAAAATACAAAAAGATATCTCAGTGATAATATCAAGTATATAATCAATGAATACTTTTGAAGTGCAATCTTCATAATCTGTTGTCAGTGTATCTAGACTTCAATATTAAGTCTCACTCTTATACTATCTCTCTCAATCTGACTCATCTCTGACAGAATAATATAAAAAGATACCTCAGTAACAGTATTCAATACATAATCAGTGAATAATAAGTCAACAGCATATTAACAACTATAAAATCAGTATACTTTAAGATCTGACTGAGTCTTTGATCCCTGCATAGTGACATATATTAAATCTAGTTTTAATATCTTAATATTCAATAGATTCTGTAAGAGATTGAGAATAGCAACACTAAATTTCTATTGAATTTGAGAATTAACTCTATATTAATATAATCATTGACAAAGTCTTCTATTTTAAGATATAAATAATCAGTTTCTCTATATCTCACTGACAATATTTATATTATTATATAGAAACAGACTTATATTCTCTATAATATCAAGACTCTGAAGAGAGAAAGTCTTGATAGAGAGTATATAGTAGTATATATCTTAGCAGTTTCTATCTCATTCTTCTGCAGCAGTTAATGCAAAAAAAAAAAAAAATCTTAGAAATAGTTTTTTACTTCTCTTGAAAAAGTAAGATGTTTTTCTCTGAGTTTTATATAATATTTATAAAGAATTAAAAACAGAGCTGTTTTTTATCATAATTTCATATTCTTTTAAATAAGAATTACTTTTTCAGTGACTAAAGAGCTTTCATTAATACTTAATTCTTTTTTACACTCTTTATTAACTGATTTGAGTCGCACACTTGTTATGTGAGAAGAATTGAATGATTTAGAATAAAATTGAATAGTTTTAATCAATTTCTCTGTAAAAAATTGATTTATTTTTTGTCAGTTTTTCTCTCAAAAACTGTCATATTATCTGATTTATTATTAATTAATATCATACTTTTTCTCACTGTATCTTAAGAAAGAGATTATAAAGATTTTATTAATTTATCTTAAAAATTAATTTTAGTTTATTAGATTCTCTTTAAAAATCTAATCTAGTTACTGAACTAGTGTGAAAAAAATCAGATGTTTTATATATAAAAGTCTCTTATTCTTCTTTTGAAACAGTCTGATCAACTTTTCAGTTGAAAACAGACTTAGAAATATCTCAATTAAAACTGTCTGATCAACTTTTCATTGAGTGAAAACAATGAGTTCAAAAATACACTCAGTTAATGTGGAAAAAGATGCTTTCTCAAATGCTATTTCTGAGATTGAAATTCTGAAGAGAAGAAAGAAAGAAGAAATAGAGAAATAACAAGTTCTTGAAATACAGAAACTTGAAAAAGTAAGCAAGATTCTTGAAAAGTAGTATATGAGTAAGATGAATGAAGAAGTTCTGTTAATTCTTCATACTCAGACTAGATAACTATAGAAGATGATCAAGTTCAAACTTGAAATCTCAAACACAGTTCAAAAAACATTGAAAATTCCTAGTATAATCACTGACTCTTCATCTTACTCTTCTTCTTTCTTTTTTTCTACTTCTTCTTCTTCTTTGAATCAGAAGAAAACATATGCTCAAGCAGCTGAATCTGCTGTCTCTAAACCTGCTGTCTCAAAACCTGCTCAAAATCCTGAGAAAACTGAGAAGAATACTGCTCATGCCTCTATTCATGGAAAAGTGGAAAAGAAAATGCAAAAAGAGAAAAACTTTCAAATCTCCAGAAATAGAAGACTTATTCTCAAAGTCTCAAACCAGGATATTCTGCAAAGAAACAAGCTAAACTCAAATCTCATTTTCAGAATCAGAAATGAAATTAATCAGCAGTTCTTTTCTCAGTTAATGACTGATATTGAAGTTTAAAAACCAGTTATAGCTTCAATTGAGTCATTATTCTTTGAAAACTCCATCATTCTGACTACAATGCCTGAATTCAGTACTGAATTCCTTATTAAGAATAAGAATCTCTGAAAGTCAGCAGTAGAATCTTTGTTAAACACAATAATTCTATCTAAAAGAGATAAAAAGTGAGATAAATTCATTCTTCATGATATTCCAGTTGAAATTTTTGACTGTGAAGAAGAAATACTACTTCTCAAAAATAAATTGAAAGAATACAACTCTATTCAACTGAGAAAGAAGTCTGTATGACTAAATTCAATTGAGTTCAGATAAAGCAGGAGAAATGCCTCTATTCTAGTATATATAAAAATACTTGAACAGTCAAAGATCTCTGAAGTAAGAGTAGCAGGTTTGAAAATGAGAGTTCATGAATACAAAGACTTAAGAATGAATCTCAAAGCTCAAACACAGTGTTTAAACTATCAAAGATATGAACACTTTACAATCTCATATTTTAGAGACTCAAAATATGCATTCTGTGCCAGAGATCACAAAACTAGTGAGTATAAATGTGAAATATGCTTAAAAAGAGATGAAATTTATCAACATACTCTGCTTAAGTACTCTAATTGCAAAGAAAAACATGCATCTAGCTCAAAAGAATGTATGTTTACTTCTAGAACTCAAAAGAACTGAAGAAAAGATGAAGCTCAAAGTCAATCTAGAACTGAAGAGAAGAGTCAAGTCAGTAGACTTACAACTGTAAGCTCAAAAAGAAGAATCTCTCAACTATCTAAATCTTCAAACTTCAATTCTTCAGCTAAATGTAAATAGAATTTGAATTCTCAAACTTCTGTTAAGATTAGAGAATTGAGAAATGACTCTGATGATAAACTAGATATAATGCAAGCAGTTGAGATCTCTACTTTTTAAAATAGTTATAATCTACTATCTAATGATAGTGACTAGATTCTACTCTATCTCTACTCTCTTTTAGTATGAATATTCAACAAAAACAATAAAAAAAGTTTAAAAACTCTTCAAAAATCACATTTATTCAAAATCATGTGAATAGAAACTCAAATTGTATTTATTCTTGTCTTCAAATTGCATTTGAACAAAAAGTTGATTTTATACTACTTTAGAAACTGAATTTTGACACTGAGTAAAATTACATCATTTCTCATTGAAGCTACTACTACTTTCTATCTCAAAAGTCTAAGATAAAGTCAAGAGTAGTGATCTATGAAAGAAAGAGATCAAGATATCAATTTAATCTAAGATTTGATATCATGTCTGACCCTGATATTCTGGTGAGTGATATTATAGATAAAGAAAATGAGTTTGATACTATACAGCTTATAAATATCTATAATGAAAAGTTATTGAAGAAAAATAACAATATCTGAACAATTGATAGAGAATTTCTGAACATAACTTCATCAAGAAACTCTATAATTGCAGGAGATTTCAATGCACATCATCTCTGATGAAATTCAGAATGTAAGAGAGTAGTGAGAGCTGATAATCTAGTTGAATGAATCTTTGAGCATTCAATAGATTTGATTAATAAGTCTGATCAACAAACATTCTTTAGAAAAGATATGAAACAGAAATCTATTATAGATCTAATCTTCATATCACAAAATCTAATGAAAAGAAGACTTGTAAACTGATTTATTGATTCAAATGAGACATCAGAATCAGGCCATGAGATTATTCAATTTGATAT